ATGATTGCAGCCTACAGTCAACCCCGCCAGGAAAATACTGCAACGGAAAACAACATTACCCGAAACAGCGTCGGGAAGGAAGGGAGGCGGAGGAAGGCGCGTGCTGGCCAGCTCGGTGGGGCGGGGGAAGGAAGGGAGGCGAAGGAAGGCGCGTGCGGGCCAGCTCGGTGGGGTGGGGGAAGGAAGCAGGGCGGAGAGACAGGGAGCCTGGCGCGGTAGCAATCAGCTCGCTCGGGGAAGGAAGGGGGAAGGTTAGAACCAGCCTTTTCTGAACAGCGAGGTGTGAAATGAATGCTGAGTCAGCATCGAGCTTCTCGCTAAGAATGATTCAGAGGAAATATAAAAAATCTAGTAGTTTTAAGTTTTAGCTACATTCAGTCCACCAGGGAAGTTTCTTTTGCTGTGGGTATCATGCTCATTATTCATGTGTCATGCAGTTGCACTGAAATTTTGTGATGCGACAAGTGACAACATTCATAACGTTAATAGGAATGTCTCATCTGAAATTAACGTTATTATTGCCCGATTTATTAGCTGAAAGCGCAAACTTAAGTTGAAGTAAAACTGCATAGCAATCATCTCCCAAATGCGTCCCAAAATATTCAGGCGGTGCCTGAGGCTGAGCCCACCTGTTGCCGACCCGCTGCCGCCGTTTGGACATCACTATGGGCCATCACAGAGGCGCTCACTGCTACCGTTCATCCCATCATGGCGCTTTATGGTGGGATGAACGGCGATCTTCCAATGATACACTGAACGGCACTCGGAGGTCGGGTGGGCGGGCTAAAATGACGCACACCCTGGAGAGTGGATGATGGTGCCTCCAGAACGAGCACTCAAGGTGCCTTATGTTGAATTTTTTTTTTTGCCATAGCTTAGCACTTTATCCTTTCTCGACATTTTTTTTGCACTATCAAATGAGTTGTTATACCTATGTCTATATTTAGCCTCGAAGCCATTGCTTGTGAAGAAGTCACCGAACTTGAAGACCAGTTGAACACTCAGTGTAATGCTGGCTGATGAGCGAGAAGGGCGTAAGATTGTTTCTTGTGTAACAACTCTGTATATGCAGAGTTAGATAGGAGATATTATAGGAGATATTATAGGAGCGAAACGACATACAAATATAAGAACCGCAAGCAGTCTTTAAAGGGAAGGTTTGTAAAGAAAGTGCATGGTTCTACAATGTACACACTCAGGAATGCTTTGAAATGGATCGCATTCATCACCTTTTATGGTAGGTTGTTGAGCACAACAGTAAATTTATAATCATTTGCATTGAAGTTTTTAAATGATCAGAAATGGGCTCAATAGCAAAACAAAATCGTCTTCTCTTGCCACATCTTAAGCTCTGTTCGGCGGTTGCAGTTCATACCGAACAGCTTCAATGGTTGCATTCAAAAGAAGGGTTCATTATATTACAGACGAAAAATGTGTCGTTCAGTCTTAACCCTCGCATGTGTGCGGCGTTTGCCAGCTTCTAATGTGTAGGGGGGGGGGGGGTCGGTTGGACCCCCCTTGCCGTTTGGCCCCTGATCGAGCTAGAGCTTCGCGGAAAAACGAGCGTGTTGCCCGTGACGAGAGGAAGCCGATGATACCCAATTTTAAGGTCCTAGGTCATTGGTTGACCTTCCAGGTCAGGTCAATGACCCAAAGTCGGGAAAATCGGGACCTGTTAGAAAGTCGTAAAGTGTGACTGCTAAGGGGTTTTTCGGGGTGCTGATCACGAATATCGTGTTAGTTTTGATCACAGATGATGTCTTGAAGCATTTAGACCAGGTCGGGTCAGGTCAGGTCAGGTCAACCAGTAGGCGTCGTGACGGGTATTCGTAGTACGTGTCAACCGCCTCTGACAGCTTCGTAACATGTTACGGAGTCACCAAAACTACTTCGTAAATGTTCAAATGGTTGCTAAATTCGAATTCAGCTCCAAACACTAGCCTAGAAACATGTAAAACTCGAAAAAGTGACCCGAGGTCACCCGAGGTCACCAAAGGTCAATGACCTGACCTGACCTTCAGGTGTCCTTGACACACACGGGAGTAGCATCAAATCACATGTTTGAACGTTTGAAACCACGAAAAGCTTGCAAACACGCGGCTAGTGCGAGCCGACATACGCGAAATCGCGATTCCGGCCAAACATGGTCTCGGAAAAGAGGTCACAGGTCAAAGGTCATTTGGGTCGGGGTCATGAAATTTTCAGGGTAGGTGTAAAATTGATCAATGCGAGGGTACTGAAAGTTTCGTCGCGATCGGCCGCTTTTTACGCGAGTTATTCGCGAAAAACCATGGGGGGGTCCATCCGACCCCCCCTACACATGCGAGGGTTAAAGCGGGAAAATGTCTTTGAACTGTTGTTACTTGTTGCAATATTTAGTTCTAATCAACGAAATGAATGGGTGTCCAGATCCCAAATCAGAGCAAGAAACGCGACCAGTTCGCCAAGTCACGCACGTCGATATCTACTTCTGGCGAAAGTTGTCCTCGCCAGTCACCACCCGTCCCACAATTTCACAATAATTGGCGCTGCCATTCGCGCCACAATAATTGACGCTATTAGTGGATAGTCAGGTCGTTTGGGCCGGCTAACAAGGCTTGTCAACTCGACAAGATGGCTGTCTTAAAATATTCATGTGTCAGTGGTTTATGTTGATGAAGTCGCGGAGGCACCAGGCAGCTCCAGCCACCCACTTTTCTCTTTGAATAGAAAAGGATGTTTTGATACTCATCTCATTGTCCTTTCAACATACATGATTGTCACTATACGATAGGTATAGGTAGGTGGGCAGGGAATCTCTTGAGCTTAGTTTTTTTAATTTTTTGTTATGCATTGTTAGTCCTGACAATCACACTTGATTTAATAAAACATAGACAAATGAAACGACAAACATTTCCTATCGTAATTTACACCAATTATGTTTTCCAGAACCATATAGACCTGTTCCGACGGAATTACTATCTCATTATACGTAGGCATTCATCTTTCGTCCATTCATAACGAACATGCAGGATTTAGTCCTTTATCGTCGCATTGTAAAGTCCATGGTGCATTGGCTGTAGATCGCTAGTACACTGAAAGCATTTTTACACTCACATCGCCGTATTAACACCATCTAAAGGTGTAAATAGCAGACTGAGCACTATACACAGGTCTATAACACGGCAATTACGCTTAGAAACTGATCAAAGCGAAATTACACCTCGTTGGTGTGCAAATCACACCCATACAACACCTTATGGGAGTGCAATGCTGAACTTTAACACCTAGCTTTTGTTCATTTACGAATAACACCTTCCTGTAGTGTAGATGATCGCGCTTCATGTGTGCTGTGTTATTGAAAAAGGATCCTTGATCTGCGCTTGCCGCATTTTTGTCTTGGCTCAACACTGCTCTGAAGTGTAATGTACCGGACGGCAAAGGCGCATGCGCGTGACGCCGCTCGCACCCACGCGGCTTTCAGTGCGCCATTGTGCTTCAACGAACGTGGTTGTTAGTGTGCTGAGCTGGTGTGACTATTGAGCATTGAGGAAGACCTACCAGCTTCGGAACGGGTAAGTAGATGACAGCATTTTCGAGATAATACTTTTTCTCGAAAAATTAGGACGTGCGTGATTTCCAAAGCTAATTTGTAATGCAGGGATGGGAAAAATGAGACGCGCCGTGGCGCTGGCTCTGCTCTGCTTCTCTTGATGATATTTATGGCACTAGGATTATTGGTTTTTGCTTCATCCTTGTTTACTACTAGAACTTCGTGAAATTTTTACGTTTGGAGACCTCCAGTGACCTCAGCAATGACCTGATCAAAAAATGACCTGAATGATTCTGAACGATCTATAACGAGCTATCTGTTGCTTTTGTCTGCGTCTTAGCTATACTTTCTTAGATAACCTGGTGTGCCCCCCTCCCCCCATGGCGAAGTTGGCTGAGAGGCCCACCCGGGCGCGGGTTAAACTTTATGGCAGCGGCAAGTATGACTTATGAGTAATTTCGCCTCCCATGTGTGTTTCAGAGAAGGAACTCGAACACCTTCTACTCGAGATGTGTGAGGAGCAGGTCGTTTTTGGCCCTGCGACAATCGAACGGATCGTCCACCATCGCAGATGGCGAACTTTCGGTCGAAAGGGAGAAGATCGCCAAATTCCAAACAATGGCGAACATGCAGGACGAGCTGCACATCACGAACATCGCTATCTTTTTCGAGCGCGCTCGAAGGCGCTGGACTCGAATGCCTAGCCCCGGTTCATATCTGCAGAGGACTCGCCGTTTCATGTACTTGTTGCACGGATCAACGTCCAATAAACGTTGATATATTCTGACATTATACTGGTGTTTATTCTTCGTAAAGAGCGTGAGCGCGACCGGTGCAGGGGAAATGGGGAGGAAAGGGGAAGGGGGTCTGGAATCAACAACACCCGTAAGCGGATCGATATATACACTCGGAAGGCGTGCTCTGCTCTAGGTGTAACACTACAGTAAAAGATCAATCACGAGTGTAACCGCCTTTTTCATCCGCCTGGAGCGTGTACACGTGCAAAGTCAACGCCCCGGGCGAGTGTCTTGTTACACTTTATTTGAGTGTAAATATTACACCTCAGACGAGGGTAAAAAACGCAGAATTTCAGCTACACCCTCCTGAGGTGTTTACACCCGAGGAAGGTGTAAAAAAGTTTTCAGTGTATGAGTTCCACCTCGGCTGTAGAGTTCCACCCGGCTATCCAAAGAATGACATGTCTGCGCTTTTGTCCGCTTTGAAAAAATATGTGTCTAGGTTTTTTTTTTGTCTGTGATTTGTCAGATCAGCCACTAACTAAACTGTCATGTCTGTATTTTATTTGTAACTCGCTCACGATCCCGATCTCCCACGCGCCTGTATTTTACGAACCCACCCACTCACGTGTGGCGGACATTTTGTCCACCATTTTGTTTGATTTTGTCCACATTTGATGGACCCGCTCGGTGCTCACCTGACCTTGGTTCTCGCGTTTGGTCCGTTTCAGCGGAGACCCCGGCTCTCGGCTCGACCTGTGCAGTGGACCTGGACTGTGATCCGATCGCCGAGGCCGTGTGTCTGAACACCACCTGCCAATGTCCGACCTCACACCCGATCGCCAACGGAAACGAGTGCCTGCCAGGTATGTCTCACAGTTTAATGCCTCCTAAGTATGTCTCAGTATAACGCCTACGCCTCCCAGGTATGTCTCACAGCTGAATGCCTCCTAGTTATGTCTCAGTATAACGCCTACGCCTCCCAGGTATGTCTACGGTGTAATGTTTCCAAGGTATGTCTCAGTATAACGCCTACGTCTCCCAGGTAGGTCTCACAGTGTAATGTCTCCTATGGTATGGCTCACAATGTTACGTCTCTTTTTATTCCTCACGTTGTTCCTCAAATCCTCACGTCTCCCAGGTATTTGTTTACGGTGTGCTATGTGCATTCTCCCAAGAATGCCTTCCGGTCTATAAATGTCTCATAATATATAAAGTCTATCATATCTCTCCCAGCTGCGTCTCCCCACTGCCTCACTAGTAACGTATCCCAGACATTCTACCCTTGTCTTTTACCTTCCAGCTATTCCTCCCAGTAGGCATAAAGCCTGCTCTAGTGCAGGCATTCTTACCTTCCCACAGTGTAATATCTCTCAGATAATCTGCCCAGCTTTGTCAGTGCCTTCTATCCGGCCCAAACTGGCACCGTGGTGCCAATCGACGGAGTTGGGTACCAGTAGCCCCCTCCCCTCGCGTGGGACCAGTTTTCATCCGCTGCCTGAGGCGGTTGAAATGCTCCCTTCGTGCCGCCGACTTTATGCCGGGGAGTTATTGCCGCCTTGTGGAAGAGATAGGCACTTTGGGTTCCAAATGTTCTGGTGTGCCGCATGGAGAACAGAATACCAATATGGAAGACGTTGCGTTTCATGCGTTGTATCATGCGATTTATGGTATCCTGCGCCCACCCGAGTGTCGTTGTAAGTCTGTCATCGACCAAAACAATGCAGTTCTGCCAACACTTGTCAAGTATTTTATGTAAATGTTGCTTATTAGGTTTAAATTGAAGCTGATTCAGTCATGAGCATTGAGCACTTTGTTCTCGTTCATTATTCGAGTATACTGTGGCCAAGTTATCTGCCAAGTTATAACACCCGTCTTATACTGTTGACTGGCGGTGGCGATGCTGTATGCCCATGTGCCCACTGCTGCATACGATACCATCTTTCCTTGATCGGGTGCCGTAATTCAACGCATATTTTCTAGCCAAATGCGTGGCATACGGATAAACTGTTCATGTCAAGCTGCAGATAATAAATGGCATATCCTAGCAGCAATCTTGACCATAACCTTTTATCAACCATGACCTTCAGGCTTCCAATTAATGCAGCTGGAATGTTTGGATAAAGTATAAACAATTTTTGTTCGAGTTTCTTGTAGCTTTATTTCCAGTAAGCATTTCATTTTAAGCAAACAACTTGTCATCGTATAAACTCACTGTGCCTCTAATTCTCCCAATCAATTCTTTGTTTTAACGCTGCCTGTCCTGTGTCCAACAAGTAGTCCTGTTGAACGCTGCCTGCAGGCGCTCCGCTTTTTGACCCGTTATACCACGTGCCGAGGCCCGCAGTGACCTGACACGACCTCTCTGACTGGACCCTCAGACCGCGTCACGACCCTTTTCACCGTGACGGTCTCGACCTCAGACCCCCGCCAGACCAGTCGCGGATCATGTGTCGTGACGTGTCACGTGACCGGCGACACGCACCTCCCCTCCGCCTCCTTCTCCCCCTCCTCTCCCCTGACACGGCGTGGGTACTGGGTACATATGTACTGGGTATTACAGAGCGATCTGCCATGGGCTCTAAGTATTGTGAGTACAGTACAGTACAAAAGTGGTTAAGGAATCGATGTTGATCAAAGACAAAAGACAAAAATATCGTAATGTGAGATGTCACCGTGGTTCATTTCAGGGTAAGATGAATCCAAACATAAAAAACATCAGCTACTGTTAGCTTTAGCTTGACTTTTATCCTTGAACGTTTTTAGTCTGTCGAGGAAACTAAACACATTTTTTGCGGGTGACTTATTAACAGCAACGGCCCAAAAATGCCAAAGAACTTCTTCGCAGGCATGTCATAAAGTATGTATTGCTGTCTTCATTCCGCATTCCACCACGACGCTCCCCATGGCCCAGAATAGCCATCGGAAAGACGCTGTCCTTTCAGTGTACGTATGTGTTTTATGGTGGGAAAAGTTAAGTGTCCTGTCGTCAACAACTCCACCTTTCAACACTTCAATACAGAGTCAGCAATAAGCTATTTATCCGTCGCCGCCCTCGCGCTTGCAAAAAACATTGTCATAGTGTGTAACGGGGCTGTATTTTGTCCGTTTTTTGGAGAGGTGGAACAGCCCAGTACAGAGAGCACACAGCATTAGCACCGCCTAAAGCAAGATAAACGAACAAGGCACAGGAGGCGTTGGGGTGGCGGCGGGCGAACAACGACTTTTTTGCTGGCTCTGCGTCGCCTGTCGCTGCGTCAACTGCGGGTGCGGCGGCGCCGCCGCGCCGGCTCAGCCGCCGCAGGTTGACAAGCGCTTAAGTTGGCGACGACCGATAAAGGTCTTTATACGCCGTTGGCGCATAAATTGCCATTTATCCGTCGCCGCCCTCGCGCTTGCAAAAAACATTGTCATAGTGTGTAACGGGGCTGTATTTTGTCCGTTTTTTGGAGAGGTGGAACAGCCCAACCACCCCACCGAACCGCGAGGCGCGCGACGGGGAGAGGTAGTAACGTGACGGTACACGCCGCGGAGGGCAGGTACGACGGCCCCGCGGCCGGCACTCGGGGTAGCCGCCGTGTCGGGGCCGACGCGGCCTGCTGTTAAATACACGAATGTGGGGCACAGCCGGGCGAAAAAGAAAAAAAAAAACCACGCACCCGACGTGGGCATCGGAACAACTACGCGAACCGGCTCACAAGCCGAAGTGATACGACACACAACGAGACACGTCCACCACACAGCATGATTGAGTGAGTGCTAACGGCGCCCGTGCGCTGCGATATGCCTTAAACATGCAACGAACAATTGGGAGACCGCGCCGCGCGACCGCGATAGGCGGTAGAGATGATGGCACATGGTGCAGAGGGCAGGCACGACGGCCCCGCGGCCGGCACTCAGGGTAGCCGCCGTGTCGGGGCCGACGCAGCTGGTGTCTGGATTATACACGAGCCCGGGGCACAGCCGGACAGAGAGGTACGCTCACGCGACTAGGGTCGCATACCATCAGATGGAGCGGGTATGTACACATCGCGGCATAACATAACATGACATCACATAACCTGAAATGAGACGATACACATCCACCACATCATACACCTGAATTGAGTGAGCACGAACGGCGCCCGTGTGCCGCGATATGACATGAACGATGCACACCAACGTGATGAAATGAGGGGCGCAGAGTTAGCGGCACGTCATCATCATCATCATCATAACCAAGCTCATGAAACAAAAAAATACGGGCTGAACTTGTACAAAATATAAGACAGGCGCAAAGGCAAAAGCTTAACTCAAAGCGCCTTGTCTGAATGTCATACATAAACAAATGTAAACACGTAGAACGGTCCGCGCGGCCCCGCGGCCGGCGCCCATTAGGGCAGCCGCCGTATCGGGGACGCCAGCCGGAAGGACGTCCAGTTCGCCAACGAGCCCGTTCGCTGCCGTGCGGTAGCCCGCGGCCGGGCCCCCAGGGGGCCCGCCGTGTCGGGGCCGCACGGGCGGGGAACCGTCGCCCGGCCCAGGGCAGAGACGAGCAGGTGAGACCGCGGCCGGCCGCCCCCAGGCGGCCGCCGTGTCGGCCCACCTGTCGCCGCGCAGGCGGCCGGGGTTCGCAGTCCGGGCTGGGCGACGTCAGTGCGAACTTGAGCCGAGCTGCAGCAGGGACCCACACCGGCGGAGGTACCGCCGCAAGGCAGATGAAGACCAGCGCCAATGACGGCGACACCGAGCGCCCGCGGCCGGGACCATATTCTGTCCCGCCGTGTCGGGGCTCGCCACCCGTGATGAGGCATCGAACTGTTGGATTGATTGTGTAAGAGCAAGTATTGCAGATCCGTACGTCTCCTGCCAGGAGAGCCCACGGCCAGCGGATACACCGGCTCCGCCGTAGTGAGCTCCGCGTAAGACACGCTGAGAGTAACAGCTGGCGACACCAAGCGCGCGCGGCCGGGACCAATTCCGACGCGCCGCGGCGGGGCCCGCGACCCGTGATGCGGTATCGAACGTCTGGATGAATTGTGCGACAGCAAAGCTCGCAGGTTGCTCGCGTCATACCACGAGAACCCACGGCCGGAAGACACAACGATCCTAAGACGTCATGAGAGTAATGACTGAGCACCCGCGGCCGGGACCGTGCCATCCCGCCGTGTCGGGGCCCGCAGACCGTGATAGGATGTCGTATATGAGCCGCGCGCCAGGTGGAGCAGTGAGACAGTTTGGTGCCGGAGTCGGGCCAGCCGGAGTGATGCCGGAGTTGGGATGCCGGAGTATCACCTAGCGGGAGCCGGAAGAGACGATCACAATCGTGTAACGCGACTCCAAGGCATGTCATGGCAGGCCTGTACTGGGCACCAGGGTACGCTCCGAGCGTTACAAACATTCTGAGAGCGAGACAGAAATCCTCTACCATCATCGCGGAATAAACCAATTAATAAGAAACAAGGAGCTCAAAACAGAACTGATTGGTCAAGTGTCACATAAAAAGCGGGCGATTTAGATGAGGATGTCGGTAAGCGACCGCATAGGGGGAGCTGTTAGTATTGCCTACGACGCTCAACGACGATGAAACCGTGCCATCCAAATTATTGGATGGCAACCGAGTCGCCCACAGAAAGAGGAATCGGCTGGAAAGAACGACGGTGTCGTGTCGCGGTATGGAAGTCAAAGAGGTGGTGTGGCGATCAGAGAGGAGGTAGGTAGCGGGGCCAGCGTAGGCACAGTGTGCATCTCCGGCAGCGGCAGCTGCTCCGTAGGGGGCGGCAACGGCAGCGGTAGCATGACACGATGAGGTAGCGCTTGTCGCTGCATCGCAATGTCCGCCATCCAGCAGCACCCGCCGACCTCCTCGTGGACCAGGTGACGCCGGCTGTTTACCCGCGCGCTGAGCACCGTTTGGGTAGGCACCGTCTCCGTAGTGGGAGGCGGCTGAGGCAATTGCCGAAGCTGCGATCCGCTCCGTGCAGCAGTACCCCGCAACCAGCCCCGTCCGCGAATTGTGACCAAGCGCGGCGGGGCCGGCCTGAGCCCGCCGTCGACGCAGACCGGTAGAGGGTTTCTCGGCATGCCCGATGTGCCATGAAACAAAGGTAAACATGAACGTCAGTGAAAACAAATGCAATGATACACAGCGATAGGTATTCCCCGCGGTGCCATCATCGCCGCCAGGGGCACTAGCGAAGGAAATACTTTGAGAAATGCAGTGAGGGCGGTACGACACTAGGAACTCGTGGGAGCATCGTAAACCGACATACTATGCCAAAAGCAGAATGAATAAAAGCACATTATCATGTGAGGTGGACAGATGCAGGGTGGTCATTTGGAATAGATGTAAAGGCAATTGGAAACATCAGCCCTGTTTGAAGCGAACAGGGCAAAAGCAAAACCAAACGCACCCATCGAACCACACGGTGTGACATTGTATCTGTATCGCAGTCAGTCCTCAGCGTCAATAGCCGGCTAAGAGGAGATGCCCAAAGTATACACCTTCGCGGACCGCCGACCAGCTGAGCTGGATCATGCTCACGGGCCACACCAAAGACAGTAACGCGCACGGCGGAAGCGGCAGCCAGTAACAGTTGTTATATCGTACCAACGATAGGGGCCGGACCGACCACCCACGGCGTGATACTTATGAGCTGACCGCAGCCCCGCCGGTAAAAGCTGTTAGGAAGCCTTCACGCAAGAAGCCGATCGTGGTGTGAGAGAAGCTGACCGAGCTCGACCGGCAACACCTAATAGTGAATATGTGTCCGGAATTCGTAACTCGCCGCTAGAATTATTTTCGGTCGCAGTAAAGTTGACAATGTCTCCAACTTGCGAACAAAACTCGGGTGGTTGTCCCCGCGCGGTATGTCCGATTTCCACACCCTTGTCCTCACACGATAGGTACAAGGTCCTACAGCGCCGAGAACCCGAGCAACGAGCAATCCTGTTCGTCGCTAATAGCGCTATCCCCGCGAGAGACCATCCAGGCAAGATCACTTCTTCCATCTTCCCCGTCCACGGCTGGAAACGGGCAAGCGGCGGTTCGGCTATCGCGCTGCAGCTCTGCTGAACAGCCTGCCACCTCACCTGTCGCAGCTGCCTCTCGCCGTGAGTGATGTGCAAATGTTCTGAATGATTAGATAAGCAACCGCGGATATGGATTCTGAGCAGTAATCGCCACGCACGATGTATGTGGATCGCTCTGAAATGTAAATACGATGCAATACAATACAATACAATATCATCCGCACTGTATGGGCTTATCGCTGCCAACCGGCAGAGAAGAGCTCACCGCTGCTCCGCCGTAAATGTCGATTATCTCATCAGGACGGTAGACTCCATTGGAATGAATCTGTTCAGCTGCATGTATACGAATGAAGAAATAAAGAGTGAACACGCACGGTTAGCGGGACCCGAACATACGCAACCCGCCCCGGAAACTCGAAGGCGAGACCAAACCCCGCCATTCCGGAAGATATCAGGGCGGGAACAGCCTCCGCCATACCGGGAATATACCAGGGTGGGAACAGCCTCCACCATTCCGGGAATAGACCAGAGCGGGAACATTCTCCGCCATTCCGGGAAAATACCACGGCGGGGGGGGGGGGCACCTCCGCCAGTCCGGAAATATACCACGGCTGGCACAGCCTCCGCCATTCCGGGAATATACCGCGGCGGGAACAGCCTCCGCCAAGCCGGGAATATACCGCGGCGGGAACAGCCTCCGCCTATCCGGGAATATACCACGGCTGGTACAGCCTCCGCCATTCCGGGAATATACCGCGGCGGGAACAGCCTCCGCCAATCCGGGAATATACCAGGGCGGGAACAACTTCCGCCATTCCGGGAATATATCAGGGCGGGAACAGCCTCCGCCATTCCGGGAAGAAACCACGGCGGGGACAGCCTCCGCCATGCCGGGAATATACCAGGGCGGGAACAGCCTCCGCCAGTCTGGGAATACACCACGGCGGGAACAGCCTCCGCCATTCCGGGAATATACCAGGGCGGGAACAAGCTCTGCCATTCCGGGAATACACCAGGGCGGGAACAGCCTCCGCCATCTTGGAAATATACCGTGGAGGCCCTGGAGGGAACAGCCTCCGCCATGCCGGGAATAGACCAGAGCGGGAACATCCTCCACCATCCTGGAAAAATACCACTGCGGGGGCCACCTCCGCCGGTCCGGAAATATAACACTGCTGGCACACCCTCCGTCATTCCTGGAATATACCAGGTTAGGAGCAACCTCCGCCATTTAGGAAATATATCACGGCAGGAGATATCTCCGCCATTCCGGGAACTTACCAGATCGGGTACAGCCACCACCATAAGACAATAAAGTCTTACAAAACACGCAAGTTTGCGGCGAGATATCGACGCATCCAGCGTGCAACGCCGGGCCGCCCAGAAAGCAAAGCTATCGCCCCCCAACAGCAGCATGCTGAAACGAAAATGAAGAAAAGGCAAGGAGGGACGTAACCAACGGCATGTGGACGGAACGGAGCAGTGCCGTACCCGTAACTAGTCCGGGAACGTACGGCTAAACCCGGTAACTGCCATAAAGAGAGTCGGTGCCAAACTCGTGGATGCCGGCCACCAATAAGCCACAGAGGCGACTGCAGGTACAACATCCGCAAGCCCGGCGGGTACAACGGCCGCCAGTTCTGCGGGCACAACGTCCACCAGCCCCCGTGAGTCCACCCACCTCCGGTGACAGCAGGAAAATCATCTGCAGGCTTAAATAAAGAACACGTCGCGGGGGCTATGGCGGGTATAATGTCCGCCGGTAATTGGCCGGGAACAACTGCTGTTGGTATCGGCAGAAAGAGAGAAAGGAAGAACGTTACTCGCCCCTCACGGTAATAACGTAATACACACCCTTACCCCATCCAAGCGGAATACGCAAGCGATCCTGTACCGGGAATCGAACCCGGGTCGCCCGGGTGAGAAGCGAGCGCTCTACACTTGAGCCACGACGCCCATACGATCCGTACTCCCGGGGCGGGATGACGCTCTGCGACAACACTGGGTAGGGGAGGGGAGCGAAACAAAGAAGGGGGGACGCGGCCCTACCCAGGCCCGGGCCTGGGTCAGAGCAGCGTGCCTCGCATGTCATACACCGAATATGGGGGCAAAATGGAACTCGACGAGTATGCATGAACGGCCGGTGGCGACCGACGCCGTAGAGCGGTAAAATGGCGACAAACAGCACGCAACCAGGGCCCAGGCGATGGTAAACCGAGACAACGCGTCTAGGTCTATACTGCCCTCAGCAGAGAGTATGTCCCAGATATCGGAACGTAATCACCAACCTGGATGCCAGCAATGTTTCACAAGGCGTGCTGCCGCAGTGGGACTCCAGTAGAAGACTTAAGTTAAAACCAATAACTACAGCGAACAACGACTTTTTTGCTGGCTCTGCGTCGCCTGTCGCTGCGTCAACTGCGGGTGCGGCGGCGCCGCCGCGCCGGCTCAGCCGCCGCAGGTTGACAAGCGCTTAAGTTGGCGACGACCGATAAAGGTCTTTATACGCCGTTGGCGCATAAATTGCCATTTATGTGTTGATCCATTAAATTTATGGATAGACTGCTGCCTTGAAGGACAATAATCCCCAAATAATGTTCGTCTCAGGTCAATTGTGCAGTCTCTCGTATAATCTGCTTCGCCGAGAAATGTCGGAGCACCTCACCTAATCCGCCAGATAAATGCCACGTCCGACATCAAACCTCAAGGAGCTGCACGACGTCATCGCTTGCCATTCTGTCCCTTTCCAGCGCTGTGACCTTTGAGTAGCCCTCGAGGCTCCATTTGTCTGACGTTCGTGCTTTGCTGGTCCGTTTCAGTGTCTGGTCTGGACGGCTATTGCACGGTGAATGCCCAATGCAAGCCGCACATCAACAAGGCCCAGTGCTCATCGGACAACAAATGCGTCTGCATTGCAAAACACAAAATGCACAAATACAACGACGGTACCCGGCTCTGCATCCCAACTGCAGAACACAGTAAGCTATACATCGTATATTTCAATTTAGTATCGAGACCAAAGCCTAAACTGAAGCCAACAACGCGGTGAGCATCCGTTTTAAATAACATGTCATTTATTAGAAATTTTATTCATCAAAGCTTATATTTTCGGGGAGACTTCTCTATTGTATCACATCTGATACAAAATATTTCTGAATGCCACGTTGCGTGTGTAGGAAGATTATATTGATCGCTGGTGAGCTTGTTTAGTTCTCCAAAGTCGATAACATAAGCCGTGATAATTCATCGTCAGTCTTAGAAATGGCTGTTGTGATGCACCACAGTGGTTGGTCCCGCTCGTCGGCCTTTGATCCTCAGTGTCGCATGTCTACAAACACCAAAGGACTGTTTGGACGTAGCCAGAATCGTTAACTGGACACCACAAATACGATTTGATCCTGTCATTAGTTTTCGGAACCAGAGCACTACCTACAGCAGTCACGCGTCAGTTGATGTTAAGTTTAGAGTAAACAGGCGAATATCTAAGGCTCAAAGTGTAACCAAAATACCCTTTTTATGCTTAACCGTAAAATGTCTAAGTAACGATACAATAAAAAAACTTTAACTGATTTCCTAAAATAGGAGCACTGAACAGTAGAGTATTTAGTTTTTTTTTTTAATTTCTTCCAAGGCACAGGTCCGAGGCAGGGTATACGAGTATACGTAGGTCCGAGGTACGTACGTTACCCATCTTTCATGTGAACTGGATATTGCATTATCACACATCCTAGGACAGGTGAATAGAGGTCATCCTAGCCATCGATTGGCTTTTTAACGGCGTCCATCACAGGCAGCACTCTGCTGTTAGTACCAGAACAGGTGCGTTTTGTTCCGGGTAAACAGCATAATAAATTCATATCGCCAGCCCGGCAATCGTTAGGGCGCCAACACCAGTTATGGCAGCTCAGTTCCTGATGATAAAGAGCTTAGGAGGTATTGTTTGTGCCGGTGGCCGCCCAAGATATTGGAATGGGAGGAGCTTTTTGAGCTGTGGTCCAGTTCAAGGCCCTGGCAATGAACACTAAGGTTCAGAAATGATAAACTGTGCCCAGATAAGAGCATCAGTTATCTGTATTTCTGAAGCTATTGTGTCGGATTTCGACTGTTGTTATCTGGTAGCTTTGTATGAGCTTTTTCTTTAATTAAGTATGAGTGCTATGTGATTACTTACCATGCTCGTAGATGTTCGATTCGTTGGAAGTCTATTCACCTTCTCTTACCGTGAAGCTTGCAATGAAAATATGGAATAAAATTCAATTTGGAATGGATCCACTACTATATAATGGTAAATGTCGTGCTATCTGACGGAATCAAGAGGCTCTCAGGGGCTGACAGTTGGTCAAATTGACGGCCGAGGCTCCGTGGCTACCGCAGATCTATACTTTTTCACTTCGGAGAAGCATCAAAGCCTCCAGGGAGATGCCGCTGAAAGCCATCCCTGTTCCAAACAGCTGGCTCCACTGACGTCCCGGACACGGTGACATATGTAGGTGCAGACTGTGGCGCGGCACTATAGTGAGAGATAGAAGAAAAAGGAAGAATGGAAGTACTAAACCAATGTGAACATGCACAGGTCGCTGTGTTAAATTTTCAGTGATACTTTGTTTAGGTCTTTTGCTACGCTCGACCACCATTGAAAGGTTTGGGTGGTGTGTGGTTGTGGCTGGCGAAAATTACGCCCATACCCTGCCGGTCTAATGCTGTTTCCATTAGTTAAGCCCCCGTGGCCGTGTCAGCTGTAGTGGCCGTACCTACCTGTCCGGCCGCGGGCGGGCAGCACAACTTTGACCGCGCCGCAGCGTCTGACGTAGCCCGAGGGACTAGACCGGTGACAAGTTGCACCCCGCAGCGGGACACCCGACGGCAGCCAATTTGATCCAGGCCGCGCCGCCAGCCCCGTAGGTGCCGGGCCCGATTAAACTTTGGTGGTATGGAGACACGTGGGATTGGTCATTTGTCAAGGTTGCCGTGTCAAGGGAGCCGAGTGGATGTTACAGGTCGCCGCCAGCTCTGTCGACCGACGCCAACGCAGTGTTGATACAGCCTCAGCTATTCAATTATGCCCGCGCTAGTTTCGAGTCTCTGTCGTAGCGTGTGGCTTAAGCCGTGCTCAAGTTGGACAGATATTGAACCAATGTGAAATGGAGAGCGATGTTCGAATGTGATGTAAGCCTGGATCATAGAAGTCCTGCGTTGGACTTCGGATATGGTGGCACAATGGGTCATGATCTAGGAATTATTTTCGGCTATAAATATCAGGGTTGACTGGTAAAGTCGGCCTTTAACAGAACGATATTTGCTAGTGCCACGTTATATCTGCTATTATATAGCTGACATACTTATCTCGTTGTCCTTCAGTTGCGGAAGCTGACACGGTGCGATACCGCATTTATTTCAGTTGCGGAGGCGAAGAAAACGCCCGTGGACCCGGTGATGATCGCGATCCTGGTGTCTCTCGTCCTGATGTTCCTCATCATCTGCATCGTTCTGCAGCTGTTCAGCAAGTGAGTTACTCGAAGCAGCTGCATCTTTGGCAGTGTCATTCGCTATCTCAAATAAATCCCACATTTTTTTGTCAACAGGTATGTGCGTCAATTGTGTAAGTAAATATGTAAGGCTGGGTGCTTTCGGCAGTTGCACTTGGCTTTTATTAAATTTGTAAACACCAGCGGCTTTTTCCGTCGAGCTACTTGTCAGATTTTAATAGTTGCCACTAGCCAAGCATTCAATGACGTTAACCATCGGGTCGATGGTGTGATGGTGTGGTAGATGCTTAGCTGTCAACGACTGAACACTACGGCATCCTTAATTGCAGCGCCATTTCATAACAGTCAATGTTTAATAGGTGATGAAATTTATGATGGAATGTTGGCAGGTTAAACTTGACGGATTAAAGCTATACCGGTTTGATTTATTATCCCATATTATCTTATATTCACGATTTAAGGTGGAAAGGTGGCTGATGCTGATGGTTCGGGGCTGCCCCCGGAGTCTGGGCCTGTTTCCTGGCTCCAGGTCTGTGATCGGGGTTCAGGGCCGTTCCCGCGACCTGCGGTCATCCTTGGGTCCAAATTTGCTCCCTGGGTCCAGATCTGTTCCCGGGGCCGGGTCTGAACCTATTTCCGGGGTCTGTGTTTGTTTTCGGGGTCCAGATCTGATCCCTCGGGAACCGTTCCTCCACCGACTGCAGAGTGCCTCTTCCCGCCGCCCGCCCGTCCGGCCGGCCGGCCGGGCGGGACGGCGCGGCGCCTGGCGTGCCCGGAGCTGATGAGCGCCCGGGTCGATGTGCTGCTCATCGTCACCGATGACCGACAGACATGCCCCGGGGCGTATAGGGCATTCAATCAAACGCCGCCCGTAGCGTCCGTACTGAATACCGGCACTGCGGCCGGCCGGCGGTACAGAAATCCTGATAGAGTGGGAACAGAAACACCCGGGTCCCGGGGTCAGCTGGATTAGGAGCCGGGAAACCCGGGCCCAGCTAGATTAGGAGCCAGGAAACCCGGATCCAGCTGGATCAGGAGCCGAGAAACCCGGGTTCAGCTGGATTAGGCGCCAGGACGGGACGGGACTGTGCTTGGTGAATTGTTTGGTAATTTTTGACTTCTTATGTTTTTTATTTAATTCAGCTGTGAGGTCTGATAACGACTTGACTGGAGGTTGATTGGCCATAGCTCATTATTTTTTGTTTGTGTTCGAACGATATTTTTTAGGACCAAAGCGGTATCTTTTTTATGCCCTTTTCAATGCATATTTTCCCGTCCAAGGGCTGGTGCAATATTATATTTTTTCTTCTTATAATTATATTTCTTTATTAAAATTTCGTTATTTCTGAGGCACGTTTCTCAGTGCGACCATTGACCGTCCTTCTGCGTGCGTGTGTGTTTCCACAGGGCGCGCTTTCGGCAGAACCGCACCATCCTGAACTCTGCCAACCCGCGCCTCATGAACAGCTCGTTTCTGAAGGGCTCCACCAAGCTGGGCTCGGCGGGCGGCCGTGGCCGACGCGCCTCACGCGGCTCCCTCAACACGGTGCCAGAGGGCGAGCAGGACAAAGCGGACGGCGCCGGCGCGGAGCGGACTGTCGGCTCCGGCTCCGGCTCCGGGCACGGCTCCGGCTCCGACCCAGTCAGTGAGGGCCAAGTGGTGCCCCTGCCGCCGCTGCGCGCGCCCGGCGCCGCCGCACGCGCCCCCGGCGAGCCGCCCACCGGGCACGCGTAGCAGCCGCCGCCAATGCAAGTCCAGCCGTGTGTAGACCCCGTAGTCTCTGTTTGCTAGTTTGGTTCGCTGCTCGCTTGCTTTCATTCATTTGACAGAATTGAAAAGCAATGTTATGATGAATGTGCCCGTTTCCCTTAAACTAGCCCTTGGCCTGCCTGCCACTTACGTGCCATTCCATATCATTTTTCTTGGTCGGGAGATCAATTGAATAACAAATTTCAAGGTACATACGATGAAATCGGGTAGCAAACTAGTTGCTCCAAGCTGCACCTACTGCATCCTTGCACTATGAATGAGGATCATTTTTCTCGAGCCAAACTTTGCCACTTAGTTTTTTTTTGTGCAGTCGGTTCACCGATGATTGCAAAAATTGATAGGATTCTCAGACCCAGTTTATTATAGTGGATCTGTAATAGAAACAAAACAAAATCACCATTGTCTTTGTCATATGTATTCAGGTTTGGTTGATGCGAGCGTTGTACTTACGCTTCCCCAAGCGAAAAATGATATTCGTACTTTAATTATTTGCAGTAGTTATGCCATGAATGCCGCAAAGAAGGTTCTCAAATACTATTGAGGCATATTTTCTGAAGTCACAATGCGCCAAGTATATGAATGGATATCGATTTAGTATCGATTTTCAGTTGTAAGCTCTGTGTACCGCCATGGCTTCTCAGTGTCCCAATTCACGTTACAGATCCATCCACATGTTGAAGTCTCATAGACATCAGCACATGTAAGTGAGGACGCACTCGGCCCACTTTGGTCAGCATGTTAAGTCACCCATTTCTCAGTGGTCATCTGTTTTGCAGTGAACCTTGGCACAGTGAGATAGAGAACATTGTATGGCACTGCATGGTATTGCAATCTTTAGCGAGGCACTGACAAAGCTGAAGCAACCAGGTCATTTGCAAGGGGGTCAGGCGTTAAATGGTTCGGCTTTGAATGTTAACGGCTCCCTAATGGGTGGCTTTATCTCGTTAATATACATTCAGTGATACAATAAACATGCTAGGTTCTCCTTGCTACGATTTAGGTTGTGCTAAATAGAATGACCCAGCTATAAAAGCGTTTAAATTGTTCTCTCACCACCCCGTTTGCTCCTCCTAGCTGACCGTCCTAGCCTCCTGCCTGAGTTCTGTGGGCCGGTTCACATGTGGGGCAGACTACCACCATCCAAACCTGGCATAAAACGCTTAATCGCAATGTCTGTCGAGTGATTAATCAGGAAGTTCCGAAAAAGCATATTGATGAACAATGAATTTTTAAAATCATTCTGAATAGCGGCATGATTCTCACAGATTATATTGAGTGCAATGAAATGTTTTCACGTTCATAACAGTATGCTTCTTTTTATACCAAACTATCCGACAAAATAACTCTGTACTTGACTAGATGGAGGTCTATGTATACCTTTCACAATTTCTTAACAATGGTATTGTAACTTGTCCGATATTCGGAGCTGCAAATCTGACTCACTTGGTGTACGTAGCGGTAATTTCGGAAAACCTGTGAGCCATTACAATGAACAATGCACCTCATTACCCTATCACAACACGGAAGGGATTTCCCTCACCTCTCAACATGACCGTATTATCATCCCTGTGGCTCGAGGGAGCCATCCCTTGACGTCTCTGCCCGGTGGGGTGCGCTCAGAGGTCCCTATCACCGTCCCCCTGGCACCCCCGGGGACACAGGTCACAGGGACCGATGGAGTGGTGCCATCGCTCGCGCGGGGTCTGATAAGGACCCCTGGGCGACGCTGCAGTGCCGTCTGTTTTCTGTCTCGTGTATCCGGCAGACAGTAGACACCCTCCCCCTCCCTCCCGATCAGTGGAAGGGAGGAGTAGGGATGGGGAGGGGTAGTCCGACGACCGACAGTCTAGCCGGGGCGCCGGTTCCTGTGCCGTGTCGCGCTGCCGTGACCGCAGATCCTGTATGTTCCGACGATTGCGAACAGGGCTTACCGCTGTAGGGACAGGTCGATCCGTCGTTCCGGGACCGGCACTTAGTGGACACGAGACGTGATTCATAGAGTGGAAAGGAGCTCTGCTCCTGTCCTATAGAATTATCACCGTACTCTTATCGTGTAGTCATCACTGTGGAGATCCTCAAACAGACCAGTATCACCCGTGCATTTTTGTAATAAGAATTAAAAATGATCCATAATGGAAGCTTTAACACATGCGCATAATGCATCTTAAGAGTTACACCATCGTAAGGATACAATTGTTTTCACATGTAGCATAGACGGCTGTATCCACATCACCAAGCTGAATAGTAGGTAAATAGCCGCGAACAATGGAGTGACGTAATATTTGCTCCCTCATTATTAGAACCAAGTGACCGCCAGCCTAGTGGTGACCTCTGCTGAAAACGTCTAATTGGCTCCACAATTACGTCGTGCAAACATCTCAGTTTGGCATAGTCACCACACGACATGCAATGATATGCATTCTGCGGTGTTAAATTTCACTGTCAATATCTGCTTAGTGAGTTAAAATACGGTACTTCAACTGTACGTAAGCGCATGCAAATTTTCATGCGCAGCGCATGAATTCTTAGAGCACATTTTCCTTCATTGATGATATTCAACAGAGCTGCGGGCAACAAATGGGCGTCAGTTGGGCTGTCTGGCTGATGTGTATGTTATCGGGACCCTCTGGGAGGTGCCGCCGGCCCGTGCTGATTTATTCATGGGGCGCCGGCTGTGACCTGTTCAGTATTAATGATCGCCGCGGCGCCACTGTGTCCCCGCGCCGCGCGCCCGGCCGGTGTTTAGGGTCAATAGGCCGACCCCTGCCACGGAGCCCGCCTACTTGCAGACCTTATATTTGATGCACGCTTTGCTTGCATGGTGCATGGCTGTAGGTCAAAGGTGTGGGTCAATGCCATCCGTCATTGTCATTGTGAATGTATGGTGTTACACAGTACACGAATTAAGTGCTATTTACAATATTGATTGAGCAGTAATAATGACGATGTGATTTAGCTTGCCTTGCCACGAGAAAGGGCAATGCTTTGGAAAACTGTATGCTTTGTCGCCATTACTTTATAGTTTCACTATACTGGTCGCTTAGTACCAATGACTACTGAATTATGTACGTAAGCTATATGAACAATTGTTGCCCACAATCAATACGACAGAGGCCCCTCGCACGAGAAAGAAACCGACAAACTGTTTTTATGGTGCATGGAGGTTGATTTGAAAGCAGCTGCAATGTCCGTAAATTGACATCCATCGACGATATGCTTTACAGCATGTGTCGGATTTTACCGTGTTGGCTTTAATTTGAAAATGATCATTAATTATTTTGGTCATAACATCACCTGCATATATAGTCTGGCGCTTAATTAGATTCGGCTATTGTAGTAAAAATAACGTTTATAATGAAATAATAAGACACGAATTGTGAGAAGTGGCTTAGGTAGATTTTACTTGCGACATGAGATGCTCTGACAAATAAAGAAGGAACTAAATTTGTTCTGCCAATTTATCTTTCGGCTTATCACCAGTCTTCCGAATCAGATAGGGCATGACACAACCTGTTCGTGAACATGGATGACCTTTCCGACCTCACGGATGACGTGAGTTGACATTCGCTCTGACACTGTGCCCACAGGCAGGTAACAAGCTGGGCTAGATGACTGGACAGCGGAGCTTCTTCGAGTCACGCCATTGACCGTCAAGGTCACTGACCTCTGACCTCACCCCGGGGCGGACGGATCAGCAGCGCAAGAAGGGACCGGGGCCAGCGTGGTGCTCGGTGTCACGAAAACGTGACGGGTCGCGGAGAGATGAGCGCGAGAAGGGTTGTTTTTAGACATTTATGAACGCGCGTCACTTGACGAGATGAAAGTGAAAGATCACGAGAGCATTTTTGGCGGCCCTCTCGCTAGTCGAGACGAACTGGAGCCGCGGCCGATTTCGGTGTTCCCTTCTGGCGGTGTTCGTGCCTCAGAGCCACTTGTCTGGCGAGGAGTTACGCGTGAGTCTTGCAATGACCTGCACGGCCGGCCGCTGAACAGAAGGCTGTGGGAATCCGCGCCATCTGGGCAGCGGTGAAGGTGCTTCTGGGGGCCGAGTGACGGCCCTCGCCGGCTCGAACTGTCCACCAGTGGAACGGAGGGTTTCGGAGAGTGCGACAGTAACGATGGACGATGGATCGCTGGTTGGAAGAGATCCTCTATAGCCGCGTCGGCGTCCCGTGCCTCGCGGCGCGATTGTCAGTGAGGCCGGCACACTGAGACGGCTGTAGTGAGAGAGGATCGGCCGCGGCGACGGCGGCCGACGACCGGCGGGGTGTCGGCGGGGCCTGGCGGACGTGGTCGCCGCCCCGCCCACACCCTCTCCAGCATGGCCAGGAGCTACGGGGAAGAGCTCCCGGTCATGCGTGCACCCAGGCCGGCTCGGGGCCGCCGCCGCCGCCCGCTGACCGGGTCTGTGCTATGCTGATGGCGCAGGACGCGCGTTGGCTCGGGAAAGCGTCTGGGCATTGACAAGAGGTTATTGTGAATATTCTGATTTTACTGCGTGAGCATTCGATAGTTCTTCACGTCACCCAATATTGCCTGTTTCTGTAAACTTTTGCCGACAAAATAAGATGCCCGATGGTGTCACAAATCCCTGTTTTAAATGAGTCGGATGCAGTGAGTCGGGGTCAATTTAATGCCCTAACGACCAGGTAACTCGAATACCTGCACAGCAAATGCAGCACACCTGATGTTGAGCATGTCAGGAAACTAAAAAAGGAAAATCTTCATGCACCTTGGTATGAATCAAACGGGCGAAGGTAGTGCAAGCCTGACCGAGCTCACTCATTAACTTCCTTGAATGTCAGCTAGCACGACAGTAATCTGTCAGTGCGGGGCACAGCACAGAGTTATGGCACTGCTTTTTGTCGTGTGAACGTACAGAGCACACCATTAGCTGATTGCCACAGAGACGGTCTGGTGCGGACGGCGCAATGCCAACTTCCTGTGGTGAATGCGTCAAGGTAAGGGGCCGCATAAAACCGGACTTGTGGACACTTGAGCGAATGTGATGCCTTCAGCCGTAAGGATCCATTGAGAAACCTGCAGGACTCAGAATCAGCAGAGTACTACGTACGCACTTCCGCCCGCAACACTATACGGTACTACTTGTTAGTGACAGAGGTGCAGCTTCGAGCGTTTTGTTATGGGCAATGCCACCCATGTGGGCACTGCACTTTCGGCTTAGCTCTTTCCCTGCTTGAATCGATGCCTCAGCTTTTATGCTAACTTTGTAAAAAAAAAAAAAATCGAACGTTGCGATTACCGTATTCATCACCCGAGCAAGCGCTTTTTCATAACACACGCCATTTGATCCATTTGATACAAGCCAAACTTTTATGCATATTGCATTGAAACAGAGGGTAAAGCTAAAGACCCTCGGGATATGATAGGATTTGATGCAGTATATTGAAGCAGGAAAACTGATACGACTTGCTGCAGCACGCGCAGACACACACATGACTAGCCATGTGACCTTGCCTCGCCATGGCTGAGTGCGGACTGTAGACGGTGTCACGGAACCGATCACGGCCCTCCACCCCCCCCCCCCTCCTCCGATCGAGGGGTGGTGAAATCACGGCGGTTGGAAAATACAGGAGGACTAGTTTAGGCATTTAGGTATACTTCCGACAGTAAAGGTAGGCAAAGCCGTTTACTCAGCAAATCTTGCCGGGATGTGATATATCATATGTGCAGCTGCTCTTAAACATCGGGCACATACGTCGTAGCCTGTTGTCAGTCACTATGCTCTATCTTGAGGTATGCGCATAGGCTTCGGAACGGGGAGGGCACCGGGGCACCGTGCCCCCTTTGATTCTGGCATTTTAACCCTCGCCCATGTAGGGGGGGGGTTGGTGCAACCCCCCCTGAGGCTTTTCGGAAATAGTGCAAAAACGGCGGCATTTTGGGTACCTTATGGGGCAAACCTTGCGCATCTTTTGATAAAAAAATTTGACCGGGTCGTGTCAGGTCACGGAGTTATGACGTCACAAAGGGAACAGCCTCCGGCCGGATTTTCACAAACTGAGTGCCAACGCCCGAGGTTTCCTGCCGGTGGTACGGACATCGGTTGATGGATCGTGATGAAACTTCATATGCATGTTGGGGCAAGTATTGGCTATCATATGGTATAAGAAACTTGACCGGGTCAGGTCAGGTCACGGAGCTATGACGTCACAAGAGGAACAGCGTCCGGTACTATTTTTGAAAAGCGCCCGAACCACTATTTTGCTAATTCTTGTCACCTCAATGGGAATATGCAGCAATATTAGCTTCTATAGGGAGCAAATGGACCTCCCAAATCCAAAAATACAATCAGATTTCAAAAATTTAAATTTTGATTTTTCGAATTTCTGCCGCCGACTGTGACCTTGCCAACTTCCGGCGCTCCCAACGCGCCATTTTTAGAGCTAGGGAAACGAAATACATACCAAACGATAGAGAATTGATCAAGGAACACGATAGTGAAGGTTTCAAGTCGATATCTCCCACCGTTTTGCCGCAATCGCCGCGGAAAGTTGAAAAAAGTCTATTTTCCGAAAATTTGACCTTTGACCGGTCAAAAGTAGGTCAAATGTTGACCTAGGACCAAAAAATATACCATCAATCGCGAGATCTCGGCGAGAGCAATCCGTTGGTCTTTTCCGCTAAGCTCTATGACGCTCCGTTTTCAAACGCCAAGGGGGGGGGGTCGCACCAACCCCCCCCCCCTGCATGGGCGAAGGTGGCAGATCGCCGTTTACGGGCGAGAGTTAACATTAGCCCTATGGGCGTTGCATGGAAAGAATGGGACCAAAAGTCGGCAGTGCCCCCCCCCCCTTAATTGAAGGTGTTCCGCCGCTACTGGGTAGGTATGCGGTGATTGCATTTGCTCCAGTTGCATTGCAAACTATTGTTCATACGAAGTCATGCTTTGAAATTTTAGGAGCTTAGCAGTTAGAACTAATTCTTAGTCAACTTTGGTAGGTACCCTAAAACCATAGTCATCATAATCAGCGACCTGCAAGGAAGTGATCCCAAACGCGATAGCACACTATCATGCTTATCATCAAAGAGATATCGTTGAAAACACGGACGGGAAAAACGTTTTAGCTACACAAATCCAAGAACAGCATGGGCAGTGAAGGTCATGAATGACAAAAGCGATTCAGAACCAGATAAAGCTGGTTTAGAGTCCGGTATAAGGGAGATTTGTCTTGGAGTGATAATGTACTACACTGCAACTGAACATCGTGCATGGCCTCATAGCGTAAATAGTGGAGACAATGAATGTTTATAACACTTTTTGCGTCAACTGAGTAGAGGATATTTTAATAGCACAAGTTAAATGTACGGCATTGAAATAAGATATTTTTGTAGAGAATAGACCCTTTTGCACCAAACGTTGCAGCATTGCTTCATCAGGTATCAAAAGGGTGGTGCAATAACCTCTGTCATCGTGGCTCCCTTCTTGCGTTTTCAAGGTTCGCCCGCTCTGTTCCTTTAGCGTCCCTCCGGAAGTGCAGCATCAGCTTATACACCCGGCTCGCTCAGCCAGTCGCCAAGCCGAAGGCAAACAGGCCAAACAGCATTACGGTTGCTAACAAATGCCAACTGCGTGCTGTTGGAGGTCCCCGGGCCAGAGACCCGGCTGGCCGCGGGTCGATCACGCCCGGGTCTAATGAACAGCCAGCGATTGCAGCCCTCTTGCACAGTGCACGGAGGGTGGTGCACGGCGCTGCTGAGCGGGGCGGTGTTTTGGTGAAATCAGTTGGTGCAGAGGGGTGGAGTCGGGAGGGGAGCTGAGCACCCGGCCAAACCCACGTGCCAACCGACAACACAAGGGCTGAAAATCGATATCCTAAGATGCTCAGGAGGCTTAGGGTGGGCTCCAAAGTGAGGATATAGGCGGTTTGTGCCGTTAAATATTCAGCAGCGTCTGCTAAGGCTGGCTGGTGTCAGTCTGGCTTTCTAAACATGACCGCTGTTATTCGTGGAAATCCGAAATGGGTGGTGAGTGATATTGCTAAGGCCACTTGCAGTACCAGGAAATGTTGAACTTGTTTGTTAAAATGTAAAAATACGATTCCACCAGACTATGAAAAAAGCATGCTGCTGCACTGATGCTTATCTTGAGTACCGGTATCTAAGTAGAACTCAATTTTATTTTGCTAAGTGGCAACATATTTATTAATCAAATGCCGCCTTGAAAGACACTTTCAATTTTCTGCAATGCAAAGAACATGTGACACTGTGAATTAAGGAAAGGCCGCTTTACTTAGCAAAAATGATTGGCAAGCCCAGATGGATTGGTCATTATCAGAGGAAGTCTCGACAAACTGACTTGTGGCGACGTAATGCAGATAATGTCAACGAAACAAGCTAGCCATCACAAATTAGCCGTATCATGATGAACAGTCATATATATTATTTAGTGACTAGTGAGTACACAGTACACACTATACATGACTCAATTGCAGTCGTGTTTGTTCTTGTGAAGCCTGAACTCTATAGTGTGACGCCTTATTGACGCCGTCGCCACGCCCCAAAGGAGTTGTCGTTGCAAGTCGCCGAATATACCCATAGGAGCCCCCAGCTCAGTGACTATCGACCACTGAGCTTCGTTTTACGAGTTGGTCGGTTAAAAGCTTCCTGACTTGGATTGCTCCTGGCGGTAACATGCAAACGCGACTCGACGCACCAATTTCAAAATATAGATTAGATTACCGATGTGGCGCTTAGGCGTGCCCGGTGGGTACCTTGGAAACTTATCGGGTGTAACGGGTGTAACGTTTTCGGGTGTAACACGGTTGCCACCAAGGGGCTGTCAGAGCGTCTCTTCCGGCTCCGTTCCGGCTCCGTTCCGGTCCCTTCCGGCTTGTTCCGGCGCTGTTCCGGGTACGACGGGTCGATGGTGCCTCAGTCGGAGTAGGGGGGGGGGGGCTCTGCTTAGGGGGCGGCGGTAAACAGTGGCTTGCCGTGCTGACACGTCACGAACGGGAGCAGCGCGTGACCCGACTGAGGCGCGTGACACCGGGAATTAGCCGGGCCCGTGATTGGCACCGGCCCGGTACGGTCAGCTACCCTGTCCCCCCGGGCTGGGTGGGGCACCATTGACTCAGCGGGGAGGAGCCTCAGGTCTCTGTCTGCACCTGCCGGGGCTTAGATTAGGGGGGGGGGGGTGACATCGTCACAGCGGAAACGCTTTATTGCGGACGGCGCGTGTTACACAGGTTGATGGCAAGTAAGAGCCGGTACTTATAGGGCTGGGCTGGAGGGACAATGTAATTCGCTCCTCAGAGATGTTTATCTTACATTTGACGATGTCTTATGCAACTTTTCGCGCGAGAACAGCATGGCATCAGCAGTTGAAACGCTCCCATCCCCTAAAACAGATAACAAATAATGCAATGACATTTCCCTACAGGACTTCTCACGGAAAATAACTTTAAAGATGTTAGAATCACAATCTCATTACAAGTACCCGAAACTGCTGCCTTTGAAAGGATGAAGGAAGACCTAATGCAGGGAGCGAGGGAGCTAAAAAGATTTGACTGAGCCTTCCCATTTTCACGGAGCTGACAACTACCTGGCTGCAAGCGACAGAGATCT